AGCTTTATTTGAAAAATGATCTTTATAATATTTTGCAAAAATTTTGCACTTCGCTTAAAAAGTTCTCGAAAAAAAGGAAGTAAAATTAACATTACAGGGTCCATATTTCCCGAATTGCTGCTACCCCCTATATTTTGACTCTGTTAGAAATCTGAATATGTCGGGGAAAAAAGGTATGTTTATTCAGAGAAAGTAAGTATTTGTGTCTGATTTCGTAACTTAAAATATCCTCTGCATTTAATAATTTGCATACCTTAGGTAACACTGGTGCTCCATTTAGACTGAGGCCTAGAATGGGAAGATCCGATCATTGGATCAAGAGTTATTCAGGGTGGTTCCCCTTTTTTGGCGCACTGTTCCTCTCAGTTACCACTGCGCCATTGCCACATATATAACACTCATCTCTTCATATGTTACTGTTTATGCGTCTTAATAATAAGTTGCAAAGATGTAGTCGCCTCCGGGTATAGTATAAAATTAGAAAATTTTTTACTGGCCACTGGCCAATTACAGCATTTTTAATAGTGGCCACTTTTTCGAAAATTGGAGATTTTAAGCGATTTAAAAAAACTTAATATTGAAAATGTAAGGTATTTCTTTCGAAGAATTTTTCAAAATATGGTTATATTATATAAGAATAAATTACAAAATCTATTTCCTAAGCGAGGAGATACCTTTAAAAAAACATGTGTAAAATAAAGTAATTTTCAAAATATTCACAAAAATTTCCACATTTATATAATGCACAAGTATTGTTTAAGTGAAAAAAGTTGATGTCGAATCATGACTGATAGACAATTTTTTAATCTCCATTTGTTATTCTCCTTTCACAAATCTATTAATTCTGCATCGAAATTTTTAAAAATGAAACGCTTGCTTTTAAAAATTGTACGGTACAACAACTTTTTTATGAAGTTTTTATTAATCATAATAATCTTTTCTTACTCTAAACTTAAGAATTTTTTTTTAACAGAGGTGGTAGCCAACGTAAGAAAAAATTCAATAAAGCGCATAAGATATTGCATATTTTTTTATGAATGCGCTATTTTCATTATAATAAAGCATATAAATAAAAAGATCCATTGTTAAAATATTTAAAAAAAATAAAAATGAAAATTTTTTTTCCAGATTACTATGGAGACGGAGGTAAGATGAAAAAATAATTGGTTTCGTATAGCATAATTGGTATAATAATTTAAAGAATTTAAATTTGAATAATGAATTTTATAATATGCTTTATTTTATTCTTCACACAATGCTGGTTTAATTTCAGGTGATAGTTCTTATGGAGGTAAGAATCGTCTTTTAATAACATCAGCTTAATTTTATTAATTTAAAATAATATTTAATCCTTGCGAATATTTTTCGTCATTTTACACAATCAATTGTTTATTGAAGTTAGTATATGAATATAAAAATACATGTTATGTCGGAGAGGGGGGCTAAAGTTCATATTTATGACAAAAGTTTAGTAAATATTATTTTGAATGTTTATCTTAATCTTTATTGATACGTTGCTGATTTAGATGTAAACTTTATACTAAACAGTTTTTTAAAATGTTTTTGTGCACATTGAAATCATGCTAGTGTGAGCAGGTTATAAAGCATAGTCCATCCATCTGAAATTATTTGCTACATTTAGGTCAAAAATTGTGAACAAAATTAGTTGCTACATTTCAAGTAGTGAGGTCATAAATAACTCCAGAAGCAATTTATCAGATCGATGCCAGTAAAATTATTATTTTAATGAATTCAAGGTTCATTAGCTAGAAATTAGTTTCTTGTCATTGATAGTGCAAGTGTCCTTAGAAAATGAGGCGTGGCTAAAGATCATGTGAATCCTGGACATGAAACTAATTTGGTATTGATTTAAAGATGGAATATTCGGTAAGAAAATGTTGATTAACAACATAGCTCCCTGAAATCTCTAAAAAAATATTTAAGCAAAATCTTAAAATCATCAGTATCAATGATCAGTTCAAAATTATTCAAATGTAGCTACGATTTTGGAAAGAAAGGGTATTATTTAATCTATAGCTGTTTCAAAAAAAGCAATTATAATTAAAATAGAAGTAATTATAGTTTAAAAAATACTGTTTTTAGAAAGGAATATTTAAAATTTTTACCAATATTAATGCTAAAGCCTATAATATAAATAAATTAGAATTTTCTCCGTTATAGCCAGAGATTTTCTTTTGGATAATTAAAGTAGTAGCAAATGTTACTATTTGTTATTTCCTTTTTGATGCAATAAGCCTGGGTTACAATGATTACTACGAATTGTAAAAAATTAAAAACAAGAGTTGATATTAGTGCAGCGAAGTTTTTAAGTAACGACAAAATTAAATAATATTTACTAACCTTTATTATTAAGCTTTCACTTTAAATATTGTAGTAATCCACAACTTCGGCCTAGGTAAATATGTCAATAGTGTTTCAGATTTCCTACAGTTATTATAAAAGATTAATGATGATTACAAAAATAAGATAAATTTCATTTATTTTCTTGATTTGGGATCATCACTGTATGGTATTTTATTAAAAAAAATATGTTTCATACGAAATAAGAAAATACAAAAAGGAAAATATTTATAAAAATAAGAAAATATATTAGCATAAGAAATATTCGTATAAGAACCAGGCCTCAAAACGATTGAAATTGCATTTTTAAATAAAAGGAAATTCCTGCCAGCATTAACGCAGATTTACAAGGACTTAAAGATTAAGTCAATATTGACATGCACAGTGTGCAAAATAAAATTCGAGTCACCGTGAATAATTTTCAGATGATGGGTTATTCACGTTCTAGGACTCATTTCCTGAAAAATCGAATTTTGAAAAAGTCGTGTTTTTAAAAGTAGATTTCTCAGGAACTATTCGACCGATATCGCTTAAAATTACGCTCTTTAAAATGATGTAAAAATTTGTGTACCTTACAATTCAAAAATTTTTCGATTATTATTAAAAAAAAATAATAAAAAATAATAAATGTTTTCAAAAAGTTATATTTTGCATGGAATTATCTTTGGATAAACGAATTTTATAATTTGGTGCAAAATGTTTTCAATTCTCTTAAAAAGCTCTCGAGATATGGTGTGATACGCAAATATTGAAATTAACATTATGGGATCCAAACTTGCGACCGCTCTCCTGATCAAACTATTTTGACAATATTTCTCAGATTGCGGCTACACCCTTTAATTTGGGGGTAAAAAATTCGAATCAGTCTAAAAAAGATACATTTATTCAGAAAAGGTACGTTTTTGTGTCTGATTTCGCTACTTGAATTATCGTCTGAAGTGATAAATTATATTTGAGGTCTCCCTCTTGAACCATTAAGATAGAGTCGTGATCGTGAAGATCTGATCATGTGATCCGCACCAACACCATGGAGTCACTAGTATGTTGAAACTCATAGCTGTATTATAAAAAAAAGTGCAAATCAAAGCAAGGCTATTGAAGTATGTAATAAGTATATTCATTAATAATATAAAAACTCCTTTTATTAAAAAATATAAACAAAACATTCCAAAGTAACAATTGAAAATTAGATTAATAATTTATTTTTCCATCGTAAACATCTTGTTTTTTAGCTTCTTAATCAACAATAAAGTGCTTTACCATATTACTACACTTGAAAATATAACTCAGCATTGCTTGCCTCCTAAAATTTAAATATAAATTTTGAGTGTTTTTTATAATTTGCGTTATTTTATTTTATTCTTTATTTTAAAATGCTGGTTCGATTTTAGGGGATAGTTCTTACGGAGGTAAGCATGATGTTTCAGTTAGATTAAAATAATTTAAGTTAATTAGACCGTAATTAAATTAAATTAAATTATTTAATGAAATCTTAATATAATTTAATTAAATCTTAATAATATTGCAACTTTTTCTAACATACCGTTATACTCAAAGTAATTATTTTTTTAGATGATGATGGTAAGTACGATGAAAAATAAGTAAATTTGATGAAATACATATAGATATTTTTAAATTTATAATGCCTTACTGGATGCAACTAAAAAAATATATATTTTTAGGAAATTATGGATCTAGCAGTAAGTAACAAAAAAATATTTTATTAATATGATAATAATTTGTATAAAAGGTTTCGTTTGTAATCCAAACTGTAATTTTTTTGACATAGCTTTAATTGAAATTTAAAAATCTTTAATAAAAATAAATGTCTAGTTTCTTATGCTGTTTTAATCTTTAACTTGAGTCTTAGATATTTAAATTTTTTGAAAATGTGCAACTAATTTTTGAAACTTATTTTATTGTATTCCAGTCTATTAACTGTATCAGCACTGTATCTAGTCTATTAACTGTATCTAACTTATTCAGCATTTGTTCTAATACATATATTTTTGCAATATTTCGGAAAAAAAGGATTATTGTGGAAAAAGCTAAAATAAAAGTAGTAGTGAAGTGATTAGTAAGTAAGTAGGGTATAAATATTCAAATGACGTTTCGTTTTTTTCTAAATTTTTTTATTTTATAACCGTTGTTGAACCGCCGACCCATTTTTTTTGGGTTTACGACTACTAATGT